ACTTGCCGATACCGAGTACCAGAACCGGAAGTCCAATTAAGAAAGCCGGGGGCTGGGATCAATGGGTGTTTTCAAGTAATCCTCTAGCAAGCGCTTCCATGGAGAGCCTCCTTTGCTCATGCACTGCATGCAAATGAGCGACTGGGGAGGGGTTATTGGAGTTCTAGCCCAGCCCCTTGAGCTACCATTGGTTTTATGAGCTAGGAGGTGTGGCTGGAAGTATTGGGCTTCTGGAGGCTGTTAGAGCAGATATTTGGGTGATGGCCATTGATGCATAGAAGAGGAACATCCGAGGTCTAGAGGTGCTTGAGGGGGTTTCTGTGGCAATTCAGGGGTGGCAGAGCAGAAAACATGTAAAGGACAACCTATGGATGGTTCCTCCAGCTACTTTGAGAGGCAAGTGTGTGAAAGAGCAATTTAAAGGAGAACTATGAGATGAGTGATTTTCACTCACCTCATAGTTCTAGCCGACCTGTGACAATGAGACTGTCACAGGTCGGCTCAGTAGATCGGGAAGTGAGCGAACACATACCGGCGTTCGCTCACCTCTCGATCCTGTCACGGCTCTCTGCCGTGACAGGGGAGGGGCTGGATTCCCCTCTCCCCGCTCCCATCTGCCAGCGCTGACTGGCGGAACGGACTGGGTAGGGGGCGGGTACAGCTGGCTCTGCCTCTAGATAGGCAGAGCCAGGTGTCACTCACGCAGCTGGGCGGATCCCGTCATCTACGTCGGGATCCCCTCCGGCTGCGGCGTCTCAGTATATAGAGAGCTGTAGCTCGCGGTATACTGAGCTTAGGGTAACGGGAGGACGCTAGTTTGTGTCCTCCCGTTACCCTAAGGAGAACTATGGGGAAAAACACTGACCCCATAGTTCTCCTTTAAACTTCTACTGTCAAGCTTACAAAAGTCTGTTAACATGTGAAAGTAAACTCTGATGCTAGGAGGTGCCTGGTGAAAAAAAACAAAAACATATGTTTTTGTTTTGGCCATACCATTTAAGACATTCTGAAATTGTTGTTTCTTTAAAACTGTATTCTGTTGTGTATCGTGTCTTAGGATAAAGTCTAGTAAAAAGTAACCTCTGTATCTGTTTGATAAATGTAAATAAATACATGTTAATTCTGCTATAAAAAAAAGAAAGCCGGGGGGCGTGTAATGACTCGCCACCCAGCTTACTGATTAGCCTGGAAGCCGGCTTCATGCTCCCTCATCACCAGGTGACAAAGAAGCATGGAGCCTGCTTTCTGGCCAAGCGGGGGGCGGGTAATGACTTGCCGCCCAGCTGCGTGATTGGCCTGCTTCCTGACCAGGAAGCCAGCTCCATGCTCCCTGGTGACGATGGAGCCGGCTTGCTGGCCAATTAGGAAGCCGGGCGGCATGGTAAAAGCTGGTAGTAGTTGGTCACAGTCAACTGGACTGTAATCTTGAAAACATGTTGTTGCTTCTCCAAGCCATGTCTTCAGTTCTAATTAGTGTCAGGAACAAACCCCAATATTTATAGCCACACAGGTAGATCAGACACCATTATCCAATCAAAGGCAGATGGTGAGTGTATAAGTACAAGATGGGAGGTGTGGAATGTGTGAGACAACCCTATTCTAAGCCTTCAGTCCAATCCGAATCCAACCACCATGGAGTGTGCCAAGGCAGATGTTGATAGTCCAAGAACAGGAAGGGAGGTGGGAAAGTTGCGATGGACCTCCGATCACTATGTAGGGAAGACAATTGCATCAGGACAAATAGAGAGGGATGAATCCCCCCAACCGTGACCCAGACCCAGTTAACAGTGGCGTCACAAGGGAGATCCAAGCTCCCCCCCGGGATGGACTACAATCTCATGTTTAGTTTACTCATTTGTTTTGAGATTGTAGTGCATCCCGGGAGTGAGCTTGGAGCGTTGGCTACTTTACAACACACACAGGAACCATGGGGAACAGACGTAGCCCCCCTCCAGAAGGAAGGACAGTTTCAGCACCAATTCAGAGATGATTGGAGGATCTACAGCCGAGTGATACACAAATAAGATACATTGTTGTTCATAATTAAGGTACTTGAATGTATTTTTAATATGTAACTCCGGAGTGTAGTGTCACTTTAACAGTACTATGAGTAGCTATGAATGCAAAAATTGAAAATGCATGCTATGGCTTCGGTGCGCTATTGTTGACTGGCACGCCAGTTGACTAATGCTTGTAAATTGACACTTAATGTGGGAAAGGTTGCTGACTAATTTATAAACAGGCTGTTAACAGATCCACTCATCTCCCAGTGTGGTAAATATGCTCAGTGGGTGTTCTTTCTACATATCTGTGAAGTAGCATTGTCTCCTCTTTCTGGAATTCTCCCCTTTCCTCTGCTACATAGTAACCGTTCCTTTGTTTCTTCTCCTTCAGGTGGGCTGTAAGGTTGCCGTTACTTTCTTCCTATACTTCCTGGCCACAAACTACTACTGGATCCTCGTGGAGGGACTCTACCTGCATTGCCTCATATTTATGGCTTTTTTCTCTGATAAGAAATATCTCTGGGGATTTACACTCTTTGGCTGGGGTGAGTTCTTGCTTCCTGTACAGGGGAAGTCTTCAGATAGAAGTGTGGAAGGTGAAAAAATAATATATATATACTCTATATTACCAAAAGTATTGGGACACGTTTTCAAAGCATTGGATTCAGGTGTTCCGTGACATTTCCCGTCTACTAAATATTCCGCGGTCACCTGTTACTGGTATTATAACAAAGTGGAAGCAACTGGGAACAACAGCAACTCAGCCAGGAAGTGGTCGGCCGCGTCACATGACAGAGCAGGGTCAGCGCATGCTGAAGCGCACAGTGCGTAGAAGTCGCCAACTGTCCGCAGAGTCAATAGCTACAGACCTCCAAACTCCATGCGGCCTTCAGATTGGCACAACAACAGTGCGTAGAGAGCTCCATGGAATGGGTTTCCATGGCCGAGCAGCTGCATCCAAGCCGCACATCACCAAGTGCAATGCAAAGCGTGGGATGCCGTGGTGGAAAGCATGCCGCCACCGGACTCTAGAGAAGTGGAGGCGTGTTCTCTGGAGTGACCAATCACGCTTCTCTGTCTGGCAATCCGATGGACGTGTCTGGGTTTGGCGGTTGCCAGGAGAACGGTACTTGCCTGACTGCATTGTGCCAAGTGTAAAGTTTGGTGGAGGGGGGATTATGGGGGGGGAGGTTGTATTTCAGGGGTTGGGCTTGGCCCCTTAGTTCCAGTGAAGGGAACTCTTAAGACATCAGCACACCAAGAC